CAGATGTGCCACAGAAGATTTGTAGTAGTAAATAGGGTGCAACAATTGGCCTTTGCAATACTAGACGAGGGCAGTGGGGGTGAGGATGGGGTAGCCAGTGTACCTGTACGTGTTAATATATTGTTCATACAAAACTGGATAAAATCAGATAAACTGTGATGCCTTTCAAAAATGAACAGACCATGAATATCCCAATTATTCTAATATTTAGCAATCCACTTTTTTTCTTGGGGAGGCTGGTGGTGGAAGGTAGAAGAAAAAGGAGCTTTTTGAGGGTCTGCACTACTTCTCCCACTCCTCCCATTCAGGCAAGTACCTTTAAAATACTACTTACTTTGTTGGTTGCAGCTTAACTTGTGACATCTTTGAGTACTGTGGTTAGGCTGCAAGTTGTCCAGTTTACTTAAGTACAACAACACCAACTGCCTGTCAGCAGGGTAGGCAGTGGCTCTAATATTATCCATTTCCTTTAATATGAAAAAGAATCCAAGCTTTCATACATTTTTCACCTTTACCAATGTGGTGGGTGACGTACCTTCTGCTCTTCTTTAATTGAACATAGAACATAGAACAGTACAGCACAGTACAGGCCCTTCAGCCCACGCTGTTGTACCTACCTATTACCCTACTAAGATCAATCTACCCTGCATACCCTACATTTTACTATCCTCCATGTGCCTATCCAAGAGTCGCTTAAAAGTCTCTAGACTTCGCTTCCTTTTAGTGGTCAGAGAATGGTGGCTGCGTGGATGGATTTCTAGGCTTTAGTGTCTGGGCTCACATAGAAAATGATGCCATTCAGACTAAATAACAAGGGATTGTTAATATGAAGCCTGTTCTGGCAAGTGCCAATGTTTTCAGGAAAAGAAAAGAGAATGGAGGATGTAAAAAGAACTGACTGCAGGACACATTTATTAAAGTAATAAATATTCAGAACTGTCTACTCCATTCCAAAGCAATTCCAGTGAAATACAGTGAAACAGTTCTTATAAAATATGAACAGCTTACAGTTCCAATTTAATTTATTTGTAATGCTTAAAATACAACCATATTTAATGCGATGCATACCAGTGTTTGACTTTTAATTTTTAAACAGAAGCAAGAGCTGCTACTGCCTGCAGTGGTAGGTTGGTACCCTAAGAAAATAAGCTAATTCTGCTCATGTTGATCCTAATATACTTGTACAATTCTTTTTTTTTGCTTCAAATATCGCTTACCACTAGTAGCAACAATGACAGGCCTTCAATCGGTAGACTATCACACTTGGCAAACATAGATTCGTTTGTTCTCTCAAGATCTAACTCAAAGTTGGAAGTCCCAACACAATAACTGCATTGCTCAGTAACTTCCACAATTTATGTGGACATGCACACCATTTACTTCATTGAAATATGAGTAACAATACAGCTGTATCATTTCCTAAGTCAACTATTTTTAGAGGTACCCGTCATTGATTCCTCTAATTGAATCACACAATTTGAAATGGACTGTTATGATAGAATGATTTGAACTGTGGTTAGAATGAGTTCCCATTAGGCTCAGGCAGTCTGTTCCAAGTGGCGATAAAAAATTCAAAAAAGGTGAGGAGACGTTACTGGTTGAAGATGTGATATGTGCACTGTCTTACCTACAGAATAACAACAGTTTTACTTTCATTGGGATATAGTTTTAACACTCTGACAGTTTGCTGGTGTTAACAGGGGAGGCAGTGGTATGGTGGCAATGTCACTGGACTAGTAATCCAGAGGCCCAGGTAAACATTCTGGGAACAGAAGTTCAAATTCCACAATGGAAGATCGTAAAATGTGAAATTAACAAAAATCTAAGATTGAAAAGAAAAGCTTGATGGTGATCATGTAATCGCAGTTGCTTTTCATAAAATCCAACTGGCTGAATAATGTTCTTTTAGGAAGGAAATCTGCCATTTTTACTGAATCTGGCTACATATGACTCCAGACCCACAGCAAAATTGTTTACTCTTGTGTGCCTTTAATTAGGGATGGGCAAGAAATGCTGGCCCAACCACTGACACCAACATCCCACAAATGAATATTTTAAAAAACTGGAACTGGGCTCACTGGCGAACAAAGAGTTTAGAGGTAGAAGATGGGGCTGCTGATGTGGAGGTAGACTGTGATCTGGGACTTTGTAGTAGTTGTTAAAAAAAAAATTCCACCCATCACCCTACACACAATCCCCATGCCCCATCCATGCCAACTCATGCTGCTTCTTGGTCCCTCATATCTCCATTTCAAGCCATGACCCACTATCCAGCTTCAATGCCACCTCATACCCCCAAGGTCCCTCCTCATATATCCATCTTTACAGCCCCGAAGCCAACTTAGTGCCAACTCATGCCATCACATACTCTCTGCTCATCACCCTTTGCCCTTACACTCTTCATGACAACACACTCAATATCTACCATGGGCAAGGCCTCAGAACCCATGCTGAGTTCTTAACTGCCTTTTGATGAATTCAAAAAGTCATTCTATTTATAAAAACTCATCAACTACATTTAACTTCCTTCAACTACTTAATTTCTTATGAAAACAATTATTTGTATTCACAGCCCCACTTCAAAGACTTCAATAAGCATTTAGTGCTGTCAACAAAACAGAACTGACAGGCACCTAATTGTGATAATTACGGGTTGTAAAATCAGTCATGCAGCATAAATCCTAGTACATATGCCTCAGCATTGTGATCATTCTGCGTTTCTCAATATGGGACATCTCTTTGGCACAGCACAGCCAAACGTGTCCTATTATTTACTCAATGTCCACAAGCACCCAATTTGCAGCAAGCTTATTGGAAGGACAAACTTGAAAGCAGAATACACGGTTAACGGAAAGATTCTTGGCAGTGTGGAGGAGGAGAAGGATCTTGGGGTTCATGTCCACAGTTCCCTGAAAGCTGCCACTCAGGTGGATAGAGCTGTTAAGAAGGCGTAATGTGTGTTAGCTTTCATTAATAGAGGGATTGAGTTCAAGAGCCGTGAAGTTATGCTCCAGCTATACAAAAGCCTGGTTCGGCCACATCTGGAGTATTGTGTCCAGTTCTGGTCACCTCATTACAGGAAAGATGTGGAAGCGTTGGAAAAGGTGCAGAGGAGATTTACCAGGATGTTGCCTGGAATGGAGGGAAAGTCTTATGAGGAAAGGTTAAGAGAGTTAGGGCTTTTCTCTTTAGAACAACAAAGGATGAGAGGTGACTTGATAGAGGTGTACAAAATGATCAGAGGTATAGATAGAATGGACAGCCAGAGACTTTTTCCTAGGGTGGAGGTAGCTATTAAGAGGGGGCATAGTTTTAAAGTGAGTGGGGGCAGATATAGGGGAGACGTCAGAGGTAGGTTCTTTACTCAGAGTGGTAGGGGCGTGGAATGCATTGCCGGAGACAGTAGTGGAGTCGGCCTCGTTAGGGGCATTTAAGCAGCTATTAGATGGGCAAATGGATGATCGTATAAAGGTAGGGGTGGAGGTTAGATAGACCTTGGAATTAGGGTAAAATTTCAGCATAACATCGTGGGCCGAAGGGCCTGTACTGTGCTGTCCTGTTCTAAGTTCTATGTTCCAAAGCAGGAGAGACCCTGGTATTGCAGTAACATCACTGAGCTAGTCATCCAGACTGCCAGATTAATCCTCTGGATTCAAATAATGAATTCATTAAACTCTGGAATATAAAGCTAGTGGCAGTAATGGTGACCATGAAACAATCGTAGATTGGGGTAAAACACTCATCTGGTTCATCACAGTTCTTTAGGGAAAGAAACCTACAATCCAGTTGACTCTTAGCTGCTCTCAAGGATAATTAAGATGGGCAACAAATGCTGGACTTTCCAAATATGCCCACATCCTGTGTTATGAAGTTGACTCTTTAATATTTCTTTGAGTTTTGAAGAATTATGGAAAATGAAATCTATTTCCAGTTATGTGCAGATCCTACTAGGCTTCAAAATATGTTGCTGAAAAGCCTTCAGTCAGTAAAACCTTTTTTTGAAAGGAATAAATAAGGCTTCTTGGAAATCATGCAACTTGTGATAATTGCTTGTATTGCTGGTGATCCTTGCTAGGTCCATTTGAACAGTGCTTTGGGCTTCAAGAATGTTTGGTTTCATAATTATTTGGAGAGAAGTCAGCTAAAGAGAAAGCAACTTCCCAGATCAGCTCTCCTGTTTCTGAATTGCCCTTGCTGTGAGATCAGGATGAAACATGATATTTCTTCTGAAAGAACTTCGCATTATTAAGCTTCCTGTGCAAACTGAGCTTGGCAACACCCCAGAGGCAACTGTGCGTGATTTGTAACTTGACCACACATGCAAGACTATCAGATCAAACAGAAGTTGGAACCTTATCTTTATCTGTTTTATTCTTTTTGCCTTCAAAAGTAGCCACCATTAGTTAGAACTTCTCAAAAATCAATGTTTAGAGAGAGAAATCTGTTTGACTTTCCCTTCACTTAAAGTTTGTTTGTGTGTTTTGAGTTATATAGAGGGGTAAAGATTTATACATTCATATACAATCTCTGTGTTAACCAATTTTGTTTTGTAATAGATCAATAATTTTGCATTTATTAAAAAGGCTCAGTGATGGATCTTTTCAATCGAAGTCTACTATGGGGCAAGTACACAATACTGGGACTTGGGCAAAACTACTTTTATTTTAATTCTGACCCCTATGAAGTAATAAAACTAGAATGGCAGACTTCTTCCATCTCTGTTATAATACATGAACAAATATTAAAGAAAGAGATCACAATGAAGATAGAAAGCCTGGTTGATATTTTTCCCCCATCTCAAAGCAAATTTCTGCCCTAGCTTAGATAATCCTATAAAACTGAGACTTTCCTAGTCAGTATGTCTTGTTTCTACACTGCTACTACACCTCAAATTGAGTCAGCAGGAAAACTTTCAATCCTATCCATTATCGATATGCAGCATGGAACAAAGAGTAAATATTAAGCCACAGAGTATATTTACAATAGGCATTATAACTTACCACAGACAGCACTGAAATTATAAACTTCAAGTTGCACCCAGAGACTAAATTCAAAAAAGCAGCCACTGTTCACTCTGCAGATGTACCACCCAGTATCATTCACAGAGACTGGATTAATCACAAGCTCTGGGGTATTGCCATTTGGAACCTGTGTCAAAGAACAGAAAACTCATCCGATTCCAAAAATATGTATCAACTTTTACAGATATTCAATTGATTGCATCACATCTATGACCATCCATTGACTCATTTTTCATTGTATGATAGTTAAGATGTTTGCATGTTTTGGATTGTTTCATTTTCATAGAATCATAGAATCCCTACAGTGTGGAAACAGGTCATTCAGCCCAACAGGTCCACGCCGCCCCTCCGAAGTGCATCTCACCCAGACCCATTCCCCTAACCCTGCAGTTCCTATGTCTAACACACCTAACCTAAACATTCCTGGGCACTATGGGCAATTTACCATGGCCAGATGTGCACCTGGACTGAGGAAGGAAACCCACACAGACACAGGGAGAATGTGCAAACTCCACACGGTTGCCCGAGGCTGGAATCAAACCCGGGTCCCTGGCACTGCGAGGCAGCAGTGCTAACCACTGAGCCACCATGCCGCCCCAAATTTAATTAGTGTTCCATATTCTTTTCATTAAACAGTGGAATAGGTGAGGATATATCATTTCGGGTTTGTATTGAGGTTTCTTTACATTGCAATGTGTCATGGAGGCAATACGAGTAAGAGTCTGAAGACCACAAGATCAAAGAAGTGGGAATAGAAATAGGTCATTTGGCCCATTGAGCCCATCAATAAAATCATGGCTGATCTGAGAATTGTAAAATCTACTTTCTTGCCTTTTCCCCATAACCTTCAATTCCCCAATGATTAGAAGTCTGTCTATCTCAGCCTTGAATATACTTCATGACCCAGCCTCTGCAGTAAAGAATTCCACAGATTCACTACACTCAGAAGAATTTCTTCCTTATCTTGGATTTAAATTGGTGACTCCTTACTCTGAGATTACTTCCTCTTGTCCTAGACTCTCCTCACAATGGGAAACAAACTTTCCACATCAAGGCTTTCATGCCCCTTAAGACTCTTAGATGTTTCAATGAGGCCACCTCCCATTCTCCTAGACCCCAATGAGTGCTGGCTCAACCCACTCAACCTTTCATCACAAGAAAATGCCTTCATATTTGGGATAAACCGAATGAACCTTCTCTGGATTGCTGCCAAAGCCAGTATTTTTTTCCCTTAGATAAAGGGACCAAAATTCTTCATAGTAGTCCAACTGTGGTCTGACCAATGCCTTGTACAATTTTAGCAAATTCTCCTGACTTTTATTCTCCATTCTCTTTAAAATAAAGGCCAAGAGTCCATTTGGCTTCCCTATTATCCCTTGAACTTGAATACTAGCTTTTAGTGGTTCAAGCACGAGGACTCCAAAATTCCTCTGCACTGCAGCTTTCTGCATTCATTCCCCATTTAAATAATATTTAGTTCTTCAATTCTTCCCAGCAAAGTGCATGGCACCCCATTTTCCCACGTTATATTCCATCTACACAGTTAACTGGTCTTTATCCCTCAGTATACTCTTTGTATCATCCTTACCACAAGTCTTCCCATCTCTATTTTCTGTCACCTGCAAACTTGGTGATACTTGCACTATTCATGTCATGAATATATATTGTAAATAACTGAGGCCCCAGTACTGTTTCTTGTGGCATTCCAATAGTTACAATTTGCCACCCTGAAAATGCTCCCCATCTCTAATTGCCCATGAGAAGGTGGTGTGAGCTGCCATTGTGAACCATTGCAGATGGTTGGGCAGTGCTAATAGGAAGGGAGTTCCAGGATTTTGATGCAGCAACAGTAAGGGAATAGCAATAAAGTTCCAAGGCAGGCTGATGTAGGTAGCTTGGCTACTATACCTTGGTGAAGGAGAGAGTGAATGTTTAAAATTTGGTGGATGGTATGACAATCAAGTACATACTTTGACATGGATGGGTCAAGCTTAGAGTTTTGTTGCAGCTGCAGTCATTGAGGCAAATGCAGAAGATGCCATTACACTCTGACTTGTGCCTAGTAGATGATGGTGGACAGGCTTTAGGGAGTCAGACTTACTTGGCTCAGAATTCTCAACCTCTGACTTGCTCTGTAACCATCGATTTATACGGCTAGTCCATTTCAACTCCTGGTCAATGGTTACTTCCAGGATGCTCGTTTGGGATCATTCAGTAATGGTAATGCCATTAATTGTTAAGGGGAGATGGTTAGATTCCCTCTCGTCACAGATATTGTTACCAGGCACTTGTTTGGGATCACCGTTATTTGCCATTTATCAATCCAAGCCTGAATGTTGTCCAGGTCTTGTTGCGTATGGGCAGGGACTCATCAAAATCTGAAAAGGTGCAACTGGTACTCAATTTTCAGCAAACATCCTCTCCTTTTGATCTGATGATGAAGGGAAGGTCATTAATGAAAGAGCTGAAGATGGTTGGGCCATGACTACTATCCCGCGGAACTCCTACGTAGATGGCCAAGGGGTGTGATGATTAGCCTCCAATAACCAAGTAGTCTAGGGATGATTCTAACCAGTTTTCTTCTGATTCCCATTGACTACAATTTTGTCACAGCTATACCAATGCAACACTTGGTCAAATGTTCTCTTAATTTTAGTCACTGTTATATCCCCCCCTTGCATTCAGCTCTTTTGAAAAATATACAAAGTTGAATTAAATTGAATGATGCAACTACTGGGAAGACTGTTCTGTGGCCATTACCTCTATATCCTTTCGAAACCACTGATATTCAACATTCGGATGGCCTGCAGCTTGGCAAAAGAGTCTCACTGCCTGACCAGCCAGTACAGCCTGGGAAACTGGCTGGATGAGTATCTTCAATGAAGCTGAAATTAAAATAATTTATAAATGAAAGAAAATTAACATTCAAAATGTACTCGTATACTAATTATACAAAGTAACCCATTTCCTAAACTAAGATTTTTGTATAACTGAGAGGCATACCCATGTTCACTTCAAAAGATTTTAAATTACTTCTGATGCAACATGATTCAGCTTTCATTCTTGTAATCATTCCTGGCAGTTTACTTCTATTAATTGAATCTTTTTTCTGTGTCTTTACTTTCTTATACAATTGACGTAAATCATAGATTCTGAAGTAATAAATACGCAGAATGGATGCATAATTGGTAAATGAATATCAATAGAGAAAACTGAAAGTCTGGTGAAATAAGGAGGCCATGTATTCCTTGGAAAGGAAGTGCAAAATGGGATATTGGAACAGAGATCTGGAATACATTTACACTGATCAATAAAAGTAGCTATGCAGGTTAATAATTATATGAAACAAGTTTGAAAAATCTACTGGGGTTTATTTACATAAGGATAAAATTGAAAAGTAATAAAGGTTATGTTAAAACTGTATAGAACCTTGTTTGAACTAGAACTGAAGCCCTGGGAAGCATTCTGATCTCTACGTTATAGAAAAGGGTATAAAAATACTTAAAAATTATGAGAATGATATCCGAATTGAGAGGCTATATCCATCAACAAAGGGTGAACAGACTAGGGCTCCTTTCTCCAGATACAGAAGACTGAAAGTTGACTGATTATAAAAAGAAAACTTGGTAAGGTGGACAGAGAAAAGATATTTCCACCCTTGTGTGCAACATCAGAGTCAGGGGCCTCAAATGTAAGATAACCAGTAAAAAATTGCCTATACTCTGCAACAGTTAGAATGTGGAACTCACTACGACAGGAAGTGGTTAAGGTAAATAGCAGAGATGTTTTCAAAGGAAAAACATGACTGTGAAATGAAAAGAAGAATACGGTTAGATAAAAAAAAGGGGCTAAATGAAAAGGAATGCAATGAGTCTCAAATATAGCATAAACGCCAGCATGGACTTATTGGCCAAATGGCCGGTTTCACTGCTGTAAACACTTTGCTAGGTTGCCCAGCAGATCAATCTTCAGTAGGTGCAACATTGAAAGGAAGCCCTGAAATAGTTAGAGTAAATATCTACTAGCTACTTTCTATCTTAGGCTCCCACCATCTATATTAGACAACCAAAACCAGAATTCCAGTTGTTACGATAGATTCCTCACTCATAAGATCTAAGTTTGAAGCTACACTGGCATGGCCAGAAGTGTATAACAGAAGTGTGAAAATGTGGATATTCTTCCACTCTGGATGGACTTTGCATTGGTGAATTCCAGCAGCACTTTTGGGATGAATCTCAACTTCCAAAACAGGTACACAGGTCAGATCAGAAGTCAAATATTTTAAATATTGAAACAGAAACCCAAAACAAACCCCCTCCCCATTGTCAAAACTACACACTTCACTTTAAACAAAGGCACGGTGACAGGTAAATAACCAACCCCTCACATAAGGTGAGTTATCCATTTAAATATTTTAACGGGGCTGCAGGTCTTTTTGTTTAACTTTGATATTAATTTTTACCTCAAGTGGTTAGGTTTCCCTCACCTCAGGAAATCTGGTGAGTTAATGGTGGTGTGTAGGTTTGAATAAAGGCAGGGCCTTTACAGGACTGCTTTTGGTCCAAGAAGAGCGGCAGTACTTTTTCCAAGCCCAATTTATTACTCAGTAAACACAACCCAGTCGCTCTCAGCAACATTTGTGCTTTCCGAGACCAAGAAACATTTCTTCCCCTTCCCCCAACAATGCAGCAAATATCTGCTCTCCTTCACCACCTTTCCCCCACCCCCCTAAGGGCCATCACTTGACCCTCCACAACAGGCACTGGACCAACCTCACCCCTTATGACCAACAACTGTTTCCTCACCTCAGCATCAGTATTCCCCATGACCACCATCATATTCCGTTACCCCTGACTACAATCAAATCAGTATCTAAAGCCTCACACCAATCAAATCTCTTCCCAACACTAACCCACAACCACAGTTATGCACCCCAACCACCATCTACATGCCTATAGTCACCCTCCCCTGATTAGTGTCCTGCTCTGACCTTCCTCAATCTGCCTAGATGCTTCCGCGTTAACCTGGCTGTGACCTTACACTGCATGGATCCCCACCTGACAGGTCACCCCTCTAAATAGCTGGCTGTGACCAGGAAAACTACAGCAAAATATTTCAAGACATTCCGCAGTTAAATACTGCTGGACACTCATGACACTCTGCATTCCCCAACCTTAAAATAATGTCCCCACATGAAACATGCCCCAAGCAAAAATCCAGTCTTGCATGTTAAAGCCCAGCAGCAAAATAGAACACATACCATTTAAAAGTAAATTATCTGATTAAATTTTACATGCAAAATCTGCAGCTCACCCCTTAAGAATGGCTGGTTAAGCCAGTCAAGTGCTTAGTAGCAATTAGCGGAGCCTTTGTGGCACACAATGAACTACCTTGAAATAACCCTGGATCCTTCAATTTGTGTCAGATCTAGGTTTGTACATTAAAAGTGCCCTCCTGCCCAAACAGGTGAATGGTCCGGTCACCCATTGTGACCAAGGATCGGAAATCCCTTCATCCATATCACATATGGGAATGAATGAATGGTGTGGTGCCCATACAACTCTCTGTTACCCTCTTCCAATCAGCTGGTCCTGAAAATGGGATCAATAAGTCTATTATTTTAAAAAAAACTGATCAGCTAATCTCCATAAACAAAATGTCATTTAATCTAACCCGAGGATCTCAGCAGCTGAAAGGCTTCAGTCTGTCCCAAAGCTTGAAGGAACTCCAACAGGTCTTTCACAGTCACACCCCGGTTGCCCATCACATGGAGCAAACTCCGGCTGGGGCTTCCTTCTGGGTCCAGTACCTTCAATGAGCATTTATCTAGGTCCTCCGAGCTGTTAAGAAACAAAAAAAGACATTTTTCAGATCATTAAGAACTGAATTCTTAGTGATCCAATCATTACAAAGCATTTGAATAACAAAAAAAACTCAATGAGAAATGAACAGGGAAACAAAAAATAACCAAGTCAAGTAATGCAATTCATCATGAGTAGCTTTGAATCAATTAAACCTAAATGCATTCAAGAAGCAACCATGGTATTTCTACAAAAGAGTAGGGGAATAATGGTTCAAATCAATACATCAGATGCTGAATTATTGGGTGAAGTAACCTTTTCTTGTGAACTATCATTTTAAGGTCAAATGTTGGTTGCATAAGCACTGTGTCAGGCAGTGCACCTACAATCCAGGTTTCTCTGTCTACACATGTACCTATGGCTGAGAGACAGTTTCTCATATGAAGACAAAGACTTACCTGAAACAAAATCTATAGACAGAATTTTCCCAGCCCCTGAATAACACAGACAATGACGAGACAGTTGTGAAAATATGACAAGAATTGATAAATGAGATTCTCAGAGTTGAGTAAAAGAAGTCCAATTTCCTGCATAAGGTTTCAACAGTTTGTTGAGCTGCTCGCTAGTGAGTGGCGAGCAACCTCACACATATCAACGTCTCATTATTTCCTAATCTTGCCTCATTTGCATGCAGGTTGCTATTCTTGTAGGTAATGGAGAGAGACTAGTGAGCGCCAATTCCTGACATGAAATTCAGAGCAGTTACCTAGCAGCCACAGGTCACTGGCACTTTCTTTGGGCATCCATCTTAGCCTGCATTCCCCAACATCTCAGGGTACGCTGCATGGGTAGCAACCACCTACACCCTCCATTGTGTTGGCACCAGCCCTCACTAGATCATCATGGCACATTTGGGGCTCACCTGTAATAGTTCACCAACATTCCCACTAAGTGCACCATACAGCTGCTTCAAGATTCACTGCATGCCTGTACTGATGTTTTGAAGTCACTTGGAAGTGACGCATCTTGGAGGATTGCATACCAATAAAGAAACTTAGAGGCAATGTTGTATTTTAGTACTCCAATACTGCACCTTGTAGCTCACCAGCACCTTACAATTGCAAAAGATCACCATCCAGGGATAGCCTGACAGTCTTAAAGATGTTGCTAAGAAGAATTAATTGATTTTTGCCCTTCAGAGATGAACCTGGTGTATCACAGTTGTTTTCAACGTCAAACTAGTTCTAATAACGCCAAGATATCATGTCCACGTTATACTGGTACACATAGGTACTCATTGCACAAGACAATTAGCAAGTGAACCTCTGCATTGGTCAGGGAAGGAGGAATCAGAATACTCAAAAACTCATGAATGCATGTGACGTATTCCAAATCTATCAATCCCAGCAGTGGAGGTAGTCTTTACATCCACACAATGTTTCATCCACTCCTGGGACAAAATTATAAACAGACCTATTCACAGTGCAAGGGAAAGATTGTATCCTTGTGATGTAGAGATTACTTCTGTAAAAATTTCCCATGTTCAGTGACTTTGCAACATACAAACGTGACTACTCTAGACGATGAATGTTATTTTCAATCCATTTGTTAGATAACTTGTGTGCTGAATGGGAGTGACCCAAACCACATCACCATCCAATCATCTATACTTCAAATGGTAGCAAAGCATATGATACTTACCATTTAATGCATTGTCAGTACCTGCTGTTGATAAATATGGAGCTAGACAAGCACAGCCGGTTGGACAGCATGCGAGGAGCAGGAAAGTCAATGTTTTGGGCTGAAACCCTTCGTCAGGAAATCCAGCATCAGCAGTCCTTGCTATCTCAAAGCCAGGTTGTTGCATTGCATTGCTACATTTTTGTGCAGCACAATGAAGAGATTACCGTCCCCAGTACAATTTACACTAGCAACACAAGTGCAAGCTACCTTACCGAGCAACCAATTTTATAATTATTCTGAGACACAGGACATTCTCGTTTACCCCTACCTGAATAAAAGAGATATATGCAACAGTAGTGTCCCAATCCTGGACTGGGAAGCCCAGGTTCAAGTGCCACCTGTTCTAGAGGTGTATAATAACATCTCTGAACAGGTTGATTAGAAAAATAGGTTAATAAAAAATATGAAAGTTAGGTTGAAGGGTGGCGGTGTCTCTATTACTGGGCCAGAAGGCCCAGGTTCAAGTCCCACTGCTCCAGAAGTGCAACAAAAAAAACACATAGCTCTTCAAACCTGCAGACAATCACCAGATCAGAACAAGCTGTTTATCCTCCAAAACATTACATTAAAACCTGAAATGATTTTTCTTGTAAACATTTTTTCAAACCTGTTTATATAACTAATGAATTGCATGCTCGTGTCTATGTACAACCATGTATAACTGATTGGGATAATTTTTGTCTTTGGAAAAAGAGGGATGTTGTGTTTACCTCATCATCTGTATTTTTTATTCATTCACAATGAGGGTGTCACTGGCTAGGCCAGCATTTATTGCCCATCTCTAAATAACCAAAGGGAAGTTAAAAGCCAACCACATTGCTGTGGGTCTGGAGTCCATGTAGTCCAGAACAGGTAAGGATGGCAGATTTCCTTTCCTAAAGGACATTAGTGAATCAGATGGGTTCTTCCTGACATTCAATAATGGATTCATGGTCATCAATTCAAAGTCCAATGGGTTTCAAAGCCAAGTCCTTAGAACATTAATTAGGTCTCTGAATTAATAGAACACTAGGCCATCACCTCCCCAGTAGTATACCTTTAAGGTACATGCTCATAATATTATCACTGTAACATTGAACATGACATGTAGGAACATGACCTGTGGTTGTAAGGGTCTCATTTGAAGCAGGATATACTATTGAAAGTATGATGCTCTGTTGTAATCTATTAATATTATGTCTACAGACACTTAAATATGCTTGTGAATTTATTGTTTGTAATAAGATAGCTCAGATAAAGAGTCATAGAGGTCTACAGCGCAGAGAAAAGACCCTTTGGCCAATTGAGTCTGTGCCGGTCAGAAAATAAAATCTAACTATTCCAATCCCATTTTCCAGTATTTGGCCTTGTATGCAAGTGTACATCTAAATACTTCCTAAATGTTATGAGGATTTCTGCCTCTACCTCCCTTATAGGCAATGTATTCCCGATTCCCAACACCCTCCGAGTAAAAAGGAAACTTCCTCACATCTCCACTAAACCTCGTGCACCTTACCTTAAATCTGTACCCACTGGTCATTGATCCCTCCACCAAGGGGAAGTTTCTTTCTGTCTAACTGTCTATGCCCTCATATTTTATACAATCATACTCCAGCTCAGTCTCTTCTGCTTGCACGAAAACAACCGGAGTCAATCCAACTCTCATCATAACTAGAACTGTCCAGTCCATGCAACATCCTGGTAAATCTCCTCTGTACCCTCTCCAATATAACCACATCCTTCCTAAAAAGTGGATTCCAGAACTGTGCAAAATACCCTAGCTGTGGCCTAACCAACCTTTTAAATAGTTACCTTTACCTCTAAATAAAACAAAAAAAGTGCAGATGTTGGAGATCTGAAACAAATACAAATCAAAAATTGCTGGAGAAACTCAGCAGGTCTGGCAGTATCAGTGCAGAGAAAACAGCATTAATGTTTGAATCCTGTGACCCTTCTTCAGATTTGATAGCATCTAGGAAAAGGTGGCATCCATGCTGATGACAGAGAGTTGGGAGGAATAGGAGTGAACAGATAGGTGGACAGGCAGCCCAGGGAGGGAGGGAAAAGAAGGAGATGGCATATAAAGGGATTGTAGATATTAAACCAAGGAAGAAGAGAAACTGGAGAGTGATAATGGGGACTATTAATAGTTGAAAATTGTTTGGCTGTATCGAAAGCAACCCATTTCATGACACGACCTGGGTTGTAGGGGTAGATGATAGATAAGGAATGGATTGTTCATGCTCTGAAATTGTTAAACTTAATGTTGCATTATTCCAGCATAACCTCCCTGATCTTAAACTCTATACCTCAGCTAATAAAGGCAAGTACCCCATTTGCCTTCTTAACCACTTTGTCTTCCTGATTGGCTACCTAAGGGATTGGTGGACATCCACACCAAGGTCCCTCTGATCATCAGTGCTTCCCAGGGGATTATCATTCATCATGTATCCCTTGCCTTGTTTGGCCTGCCCAGATGAATTCCCTCACATTTACCCAGATTGAATTCTATTTGCCAGTGATCAGACCCTGTGACTAGCCTATCTATAGCCTCCTGTAATCTAAGTCACTATTTCCCCTCATTATTTACCACCACACCAATTTTGTACCATCCACAAACTCAGTCCTCCTACATTCAAATCTAAATTGTTTATACATACAATGAATATACATTACACCTTAATATGCAGAACTCCACTGGACACAGGCTCCCAATCACGGAAACACACCTCAATTATCACCTTCTACTTCCTGCCGCTCAGCTATTCTGGATCCAATTAGCCAAATTTCCTTGGATCCCATTGGCTCTTACTCTCACTGTCAGTGTCCTATGAGGGACCTTATCAAAAGCTTTCCTGAAGTCCACATGACTACATGAACACAGTGCCTCATCTACACATTTAGCTATCTCTTCAAAATGTTGGGCAGACATGATCTCCGGTTTACAAAACCATGCTGACTGTTCTTGAGTATTCCTTGCCTCTCCAAGTGCAAATTAATTCTAGCTGTCAGAATTGCTTCCAATAGTTTCCCCACCATTGAGGTTAGACTGACTGGCCAGTATCTCTCACTCCCTTCTTGAATAACGGTACCACATTGACTGTCCTCCACACCTCTGGTACCTGTCCTGTGGCCAGGGAGGATTTGAAAATTATTGCCAACACTCTTTCCTACCTTGCCTCACTCTACATTCTGGGTCACATTTCATCTAAGCCCTGGAGATTCATCTACTTTTAGGTCTGCCAGACTACTCAATTTCCTCTCTGACATACTAATTTCTTTAAGTATATCATAGTCCTTCCCCCTAATTTCTATAC